CCACGATGTCGCATCAGGCAACTTGTTCATATGAAACACGAGTGTGAGTGAAAATAGTACAATGTAAACGAGTGTCAGACGTAGAAGAAATGAACGATAACGACGGCAAGGAAATAAGACCATTTAAACAGGCCATCTGATCTGAAACAGAAACACCATAAACTCATCATTGTTGATAAACAGACAAGCGTGCCATATAAAGAGAAAATAAACCTGTGTTCGTCATTTTATTTAGCATGATGACATCACAGATATCATAACTCGACATCACACACTCATAACTGAATTTAAGAACATATTGATGAAACAACTTCTTGATAGTTGGCTTCACCGGCTAGTCGTCAATTTTGTGTGCCTAAGATTTGTCCTACACAATGACTTTTCCTTTCCTTTTTTAGGGAGCACTGCCTAGGATATACATATATAAATATATCGTATATAATAGAAAATACTCAAAATGGTCTTGCTTTAATAATGTTTTATTGGTTTACAATTACATCAATCAAATTATTACAAAAAACCTCTTTCGCGATTTAGTTGATATCAGTTGTGTTACTCTTTCTTGAGAAGATAAATAGTACATAAAATACCTAGACAAGAGCGTATATTCCTGTAAGATGCACTATGTCAAAGAGATTCCATGGTCTTGCAAGGTCGGTGACTCATCGGCATTGGTTTCAGTGGCTGAGAGATCACGATCAGTATGTTTACTTTTATACTAAAAAGAACGAATTTTCCAATTGACTTTCTCTAGTTGCTCGTGATACAAAGGAATAGTTGCATTTCTCCACATTTTTTTATTCGACATCTATATGCTGACTAGAAAATCATCGAACTACATCAGTTTTTTCACTATAAGAGTCTAACATATAATGCATGCGTTTGTCACAAACAAGACGTCTTGTTTTTCCACTACGCTAAACAAGACCGCTCGCTAGAGAAAGATGAATAAGTCACTTAGATTATCGAAATGACATCGTCACGTTCAGATAATGAATAGGAAAAACATAAGACCTCGGATTAAACGGAATTTTGATCGATCTGAGCAAACAGATAGAGACAGGATGACACTCATTGTTTTGAATAAAGCTCATAAAAAGTAGCTGCGCGTATTATGAAGTGATATTCTCATTTTACATTGATCACTAACAATGGTTAATTTGCATTTAACAGATAACGTTACAGCTAGTGTTGTTCATATAGACTTATCTGCGCACAATGACTTCTTACCAACAGTGGAGAGGAACTGGTTATTTCAACTGAAATAGTAAATATATTATCCTAGTTGTCAGGATAAAACTAAAGAAATACAAATCGATAAAGTTCCTTCTAAAATGTAAAAATAAAAGTTTTTTCCTTTGTAGAATAATTTTGCCAAAAATGGCCGAAGAAGAAATTGCCAGAATCAATCGAAAATTAGAAAAAATGATTTCTAATGCTGAAATTGTAAGTTGTACTGCGAGGTGCAAGAGGACGACTGCGGTGATCGATAAGAAAAACTTGTTGATCGGTTAAAGGAAAAAGTGAAACATTGTGGTAGTAAGAATGGAACCGAAATTTATTTCACCTTTTAAGTATTGCATAAAACAGCTTAAACTATTTATGATTGTTGTTTTCTAGGACGAATCAATGGCGCGCGATTTATTAGTTCGTTTACAAGAATCTCGAATAACATTGTTAATATTGCAAAAAACAGGTATTGGAAAAACAGTGAACAATCTAAGAAAAGCTTTGGCGCCGCCGAATGAAGAATTAGCAACATTAGCCAAAGGTTTACTTAAAAATTGGAAAAAGCTTGTGCCAGGTAAATAATAACTTGTATTTCATTGTTATACAAAAAGTATTTGCTTTGTTTATTAAAGAAGTATCAAAAGAAGAAAAAATCGCAACTAATAATCATAACCCACAAGCATCAACATCTTCACAATCGGAAACTAAAAACGAAACGACGACAAAATCTAATGGAATTGATCGAACAATATCAACTTCTTCAACGTCATCTAGTCCAACAGCTTTGAATACAAAAGATGAAGTCAGGTAACGCAAAAGGAAACAAAGTGAATTGATTTTCAAAGCCTTGGTAACCAGGAGAATCAGTAGAGAAAATCATCAGTTGATCTAACACAAACAGCTTTTTTCTGAGAACTAATGACCTAACAGTTTGTGTGATCAGTTCGCAAATTTTTCTTTCATCCATTTCTCATTTTAGACTAAAATCACGTGATTTACTTGCAGCAGCCTTATCGGTCTCTGAAATACCAGAAGGTTCAGCTGATCCTGTTGAACTAGCGGCACGCGTCGAAGATGGTATGTGCAGAAAGAATTTAATATACTCAGTTTGTCACTGAAATTTTTCTTTAATATAAGATTGATGCATATTGATTTTCACCAACTCAATTCAATCTAACGCATAGAGGTTTTGGATCAAATCAAGCTCACATTCTTTTAAAGTCCTTAAATAGGGAAATGTCATCGTTTTCGTGGTGCTTCTCGACAGATGTTATTTTAAAAACTATATTTAGATCATAAGAACGACTATATTGGAAAATGATAAGAAAGATACTAACGAGGGAACGTTTCTAGGTGATAAATCACTTTTTCTACAAACATTAAAGAGTACTTAATGAAATTTTCGAATAGAAATATTATTTCGAAAACAATTTTTTCGAGAAAAAGGCGAAATTTCAAAAAATGATTTGGTACCCGTAACTCTACAACAAGTAAAGTCACTGGAAGATTGAGACATTCAATTCATAATCAAAATCGAAAAATAGATATGTTTTTTGAAAAACGCTGTCAGATAACGAGAGATCGAGGCTTAAGATTCTGATGGACCTTTAAAGTACACACAGAAAATATCAGATTATAAGAGCGACTATGACTGTCTATTCTGAACCGTTCTATACTTATAATCATCTGTTAATGTATGCTTTAATAATTTGTCTTTTAATTCAGCTATTTTCAAAGAAATTCGGGATACTGGTGTCAAATATAAAAACCGAATTCGAAGTCGTTTAGCAAATTTAAAAGATTTAAAAAATCCTGGTTTAAGAAACAATGTATTACTTGGCTATATAACACCTGAACGACTTGCTGTATTAACTGCCGATGTAGGTTGACTATTTAGTAAGTTCCTGTCCCTTCCTCGTAGCTTCAAAAACGACGATCTATCTTATCTCCACTACATTGCCACCGCCTGTTCGATCATCGTTCATAATCGATTAGAAATTGTTCATTGTAGGAAATGGCTAGTGAGGATTTAAAACGAGAACGTGAAAAATTAACGAAAGATGCTATCAATGAGCATCAGTTAGCGGTAGCAACTGGAATCGGTACAGATTTAATACAATGTGGAAGGTAAAATGTCATTTTGACAGCTAGCTGATTTAACTTTATCCTTTTTTGGAATATTGAGCCTAGTTGCTGATATTTCTGACACTTTCTGTTGTTATTCTTTTAGATGTAAACAAAAAAACTGTACATATACAGAAGCTCAGACAAGAAGTGCCGATGAGCCAATGACATTATTTGTATTATGCAATCATTGCGGGAAAAGATGGAAGGTAAAGTATCGTAAGATAGTAGTTCTAACTGGCACTGATCTTCAGTGCTCCTCAAAAGCAGCGCCCCCCTGTAACTCAAGAATCATGATAACTAGGGACTCTACTTTTGTGTGTTCATAGCTCTTGCCAAATGTTGATCACCCACCAAGTTTGGGCCTCTGTTACTAGATGGTTCGTGAGA